GAGCAGGGAGCCCGATGCGGGACTCGATCCCGGGACTCCAGGATCATGACCTGAGCCGAAGGCAGTCGCTTAACCAACTGAGCCACCCAGGCGCCCTACTTATTAAGTTTTAAGAGTTCTTTTTTATATTCTGAATATAAGTCCTTTTCTGAAAATGTTTACAAATATTTTTCCCACTCTGTAGCTTTTCTTTTTTTTTTTGTAAATTTATTTATTTTTTATTTTTTAAAGATTTATTTATTTGACAGAGAGAGAGACAGCGGGAGAGGGAACACAAGCAGGGGGAGTGGGAGAGGGAGAAGCAGGCTCCCCACTAAGCAGGGAGCCCGATGCAGGACCCTGGGATCATGACCCAAGCCGAAGGCAGACGCTTAACGACTGAGCCACCCAGGTGCTCCATTTTTCTTTTTTAAGGTTTTTTTTATTTGAGAGAGAAAGAGAACATGAGGAGGGAGGGGCAAAGGAGGAGGGAAAAGCAGACTCCCCACTGAGCAGGGAGCCCAATGTGAGGCTGGATCCCAGGACCCTGAGATTATGACTGGAGCCAGAGGCAGACAGACACTTAACTGACTGAGCCACCCAGGCACCCCTGTAGCTTGTCTTTTCATTCTCTTAATAGTGATTGTTGCAGAACAAACACTTTAAATTTTGCTTAAAAACAAAGAAAACACAGGAAATTCTAAGCCAGAACTTTCATACTTTGAATTCAGGTTTTCTTCCCCAATTGTTACCATTTACTTTTCAGAGTCCTTAAATGCCACCTGGACTGCGTCCAGGGCTTTTAGCTGCATTCAGTGGGAGAGATAGGATGGAGTATGCTTACTCTGTCATACCTAGAACCAGAACCCATTCAAATATCCTTTTAATAAATTCCTTTTCCATTTAAATTAATTTATTTCTATTGTTTACAACCAATAATTCTGGCCTAGTTGTATTATTTATCCATCAAATGTCTGTTTGCCTAACCAGACTAAGAACTACAAAGATAAATTTGTAGTACTGGGCCTAGCACAGTGTTTATTTAGTAAATGAATGAATAAACTTCACTATGGTGATCAACAATTATTAAAAGAACATGGCTATTTTATATTCTACTAGTAGTACTTAGGTGATTTATTAGTTATGAGACTGACCTGTTTTCTCAAATATTACGGACAAAAAAAATCAATAATCTGGGTCATGGCCATCCATTGTTTGATGTACCCAGAATCCTCCTCTAATGGGAAACTGCTTCTTTCTGCATCCAAAAGTGGTTCTGGTGAAGACTTCCAGTCACACTTCACCCCTATGATCTAAGCAAGCCTATCATAAGCTTCCACTAGGATTTTTCAAATTCAAACTAAGGGAAAAGACTCCCTCTTTCTCTGTGTTGGTAGGAAGCTGGTCTCTAATAGGAAAGAATAAAGTATAGATGGAGGGAGAAGCACAGAAAAGAGATTCTGATTTCATTTCATTCCCTATCCTTCCCAGATTGGTTAAAAGAGCTAATAAATCCTCTGTTTTGTCAAAGCCAGTTTGAGGTGAGTTTCTATTCGCTATCAAAAGAGTCATAACAAATGCAATCTGAGCTAATCAATTAGCTTTTTTTTTTTTTAAGATTTTATTTATTTATTTGACAGAGAGAGAGCACAAGCAGGGGGAGTGGCAGGCAAAGGGAGAGGGAAAAGCAGGCTCCCCGCAGAGCAGGGGGAGCCTGATGTGGGACTTGATCCCAGACTCCTGGGATCATGACCCGAGCCAAAGGCAGTCACTTAACCAACTGAGTCACCCAGGCACCCTAGGCTTCTTCTGAGATTTCTTTCCCTCATACGTCTTCTCTATAATTTGGGGAAAATATGTATTTTCAAAACACAATATGTCTTATAGGTTTGTAGCATCTCTTACGTTTGAACTCTGCACCATGTCTTACACTTTCCTGCTTCGAAATTTACAGTGGTATGCATTCTCTCTCTCATTTAAAAATTTTTCACTCCTTCTCACATTTTTATTTATTTTTTATTTTTATTTTTTTAAAGATTTTATTTATTTGCCAGAGA